TATTTTTCCTTTCAATTCAGTTAATATTTCCTTTATGTATTTTGGAGCTCTTTCACTAGGTTATTTGGTTAATTGACCCTTTTAACATCATAGTGTACTTCTTTGTCCCTTATGCTGCTTTTCACCTTGAAATCTATTTTATCAGATATTAATATTGCTGCTCTTGCTCTTTTTTGGTTGCCATTAGCTTGACATATTTTTTCCACTCCTTGATTTTTTATTTATTTTTATCTCTGTGTCAAAGGTGGGTCTCTTGGCAGCATATCAATAGGTCTTCTTTTCTTAACCAATCTGTCACTCTTTTTCTCTTGACTAGTGCATTCAGTACATTCGCATTGAGTCTAACTAGTGATAGGTGTGAATTTATTCCTGCCATTCTACTGTGTTGTTTGTTGTGGTGTTGGTGATTTTTTTGTTCCAAATATTTCTTTGTGCTGAGTTCATTTTGTTATCAAGTATTTTTTTTTTCTCTTTTCTTTATTACTGTTGGCTTGTGCTTACTAAGCCCTTGTGATTTTCTTCTTTCTCAGTTTGGTTAGAAGGATTGTTAATTTTCTTTGTGGTTACCCTGAGGTAAATTCTTATCTCCCTAACCTTAGAACAGTCTGTTCTACACCATTGTCCCATCTTCTTCTCCATTTGGAAGTTCAAAAGGACATAGTCCTTTCCAGACTATTCAGCTTAAGCTAAGGAGTCACTGTCCCATTGCCCAGTATGATCTTTGTCCCCACTCGCAGCACCAGTTCACCTTGAAATACTACTGGTGTGACTATTTTAAGTAGTTATTGCCTGTGGGTTCCATGATATGTGTGTGTTTCCTCCTCCTTGGCCTCCTTTGTATTTCTAATACAAAGGCTCTGCTGGCTGGGAGGGTTCTTTCATTTTTACCAGTCACTTAACCTGCTCCCTTTTGCTGCCTTCACTGGATCTAATCCTTTATCTTTTCATCAGCTGCTCATAACTCAAGTATCATTATTTGCATCTGTTTTATCAAGCTTCTCAAAATTTCTACTGATAGCAGGATCTAGTAGTGCCTGGTGTGTTAGTAAGATGCCATCTTTCTAATCCCCTCCAGTACCATTAGTTTTTGATCATATGCCACTTCCTGAAATGGTGAAATGTCAAACAATTCTTTTTGGTACACAGACAGTGTGTTTCTTCCATTTTCTGATGCTTCCAGCATTGTTCAGTATTTTGTCCAGAGAATCCTTCAGTATCACCACTCAAGGCTTGAATTTTTTGTTGAATACTTTCAGCTTGAAAAATGCTGAGTGTGCTTCTCTGTATTCATGTTTTTACTGCAGGTCTTTGCACATTTCATTATAATACTTTACTTTATCTTCTTGAACTGCCCTTTAAAATCTTCTGTTAAGCTCTTTTCCTCCATAATTTCTTCTATTCACTTTAACTACTCTATGTTCAAGAGCAATTATAAGAGTCTTTCCTCACATCCATTTCTGTCTTGTCTTCCCTTCCTGTCTTTTTAATGACCTTTCGCTTTCTTCATGTATGATGTCCTTGATGTCATCCCACAACTTATTTGGTCTTCAGTCATTATGGCAAGTCATCAGTTCAATATGTCAAGTCTATTCTTCAGATGGTGTCTAAATTCAGGTGAGATATACTCAAGGTTGTATTTTAGCTCTTTTGGACTTGTTTTAATTTTCTTCAGCTTCAGTTTGAACTTGCATTTGAGCAACTGATCGTCTGTTCTACAGTCAGCCCCTGGCCTAACTTGACTGATGATATATTGAGCTTCTTCATGGATTCTTTCTACATATATAGTCCACTTTATTCCTATTTACTCCTTCTGAGTCTAAGTGTATAGAAGCCATTTATGTTGTTTTAAAATGGTATTTGCAATGAATAAGTGGTTGGTCTTGTAAAATTTTATTATGGGATCTCTGGTATCATTAGTACCAACAAGGCCATGATTTACAATTAGAAGATTTAGAATACCTCTTTGTTTCCAACTTTTTCATCCCAATCACTAGTAATTATCAATATATCTTGATTGCATTTTTGATCAATTTTAGATTGCAGAGGTTGGTAAAAGTCTTCAACTTCATTATCTTTGGCTTTAGTGGTTCGTGCATAAATTTGAATAACAGTAGTATTGGCTGGTCTTCCTTATAGGCATATAACCTAACATTTATGTCCACCTGAAACCTGAAAATGTGACATTATTTGGAAATAGGTGTTTTTGCAGATGTAGTCAAGTAAAGAAGAGGTTATACTTTAATATGACTGACGTTCTTATATAAAGTGGGAAATTTAGACACAGAAAGATGGGCACATAGGGAAAATGCCATGCGATGATCAAGACAGGGACTGGAGTGATGCATGTATAAGCCAAGAAATGGAAAGGTTGTCACAAACCATCAAAAGCCAGGAACAGGCAAGTTTTTTTCCTAAAGCTTTCAGGGAAAGAATGGCCAGGTGACAGCTTGATTTTGGACTTCCAGAACTGTGAAAGTATAAGTTTCTTTTCTCTTGAGTAACCAAGTTTGTGGTAGTTTGTTATGGTAGCCCTAGGAAACTAATACAGGAACCCTCCCATAAATAAATGAGCATAAAAAGGAAACAGTTTTTTAACTTTTCCTTACTTTCCAAAGAATTATATCCTAATCAGTAAAGTTGTACTATTATGCACATTTGCTAATGAACACGGACTTAGTATGGAGAATTCAATATTTTACTGACATTTACTAAAATTCGATTTTACCTACACATATATGAATATTCTCACTACTAGTACATTATTTAGGGAGCTCTGGTAGTATAGTGCCTAAGGCACTTGACTGCTAACCAAAAGGCTGACGGTTCAAACCTACCAGCCACTCTTCAAAAGGAAAATGGGGCAATCTACTTCTGTAGTGATACTGCCTCGGAAACCCAAGAAGGGGTCACTATGAGTCGGGTCTGACTTGATGGTACACAACAACATAACAAGAGTATATTATTTGTCATAGCACTAATGTGATTTTCACTCCATAATCTTTGTGAAAATACTTAAATTGTTCCTTTTCTATATCTTTATATAACCGCTATAATACTACAATGTTATTTCCCCAAATTTATAGATTAGAATCTGAGACAGAAAAGTTACCTTAATTTCTTAAAGGCATATTCCTAACTATGTCTCAAATTCATGAGCTTACAAACTCTAGACTAGTACTAACATTTCCATAAGTTAGGATGCAACCTTTAGCAACTTTTAGCAAATCTGTAAACTTTTAGACCCTCCCTGAGCCTCAGTGTCTTCAGTTATCAATAGGAGCTTTTTGATTAGATGATCTTTAGGATGCTTTCTAGCCTTGACCCTCATTTTCAGCACCAGGAAATCCTGAATTTTGTTATGAATAAAAAATGTGACTTCTAATTGCTATTTTTCCAGAATGGAAGATAATGGACAACACACATAGTTAGTTAAAGAATGACAGAAAAGTTAGAGATTTGTTGTTGTTGTTTGTTGTTAGGTGCCGTGGAGTTGTTTCTGATTCATAGTGACCCCATGAAGAGCAGAACAAAACACTGCCCGATCCCGTGCCAGCTCCATGATCCCTGCTATACTTGAGCCCATCATCGCAGCCACCGTGTCAATCCAATCCGTTGAAGGCCTCCCCCTCTTTCGTCGACCCTCCACCCTACCAAGCATGACATCCTTCTCCAGAGAATGGTCCCTTCTGACAATCTGACCAAAATAGGTGAGACAAAGTCTGGCCATTTATTAGTATGTGTGGAGTGGGAAGGAAGAAAGGCACACAAGACAGAGAGTGGATTAATGTCAGCATGTTAGTGTAAATTTCTTTGGGACAAAATACCATGGAATACTTTTTGCCCATATAACTCATGGGAATTTTGCTCTTACTTGAGGAATTTAGGAATTTCAATGGTAATTTGTAAAGACCTCAAGGTATGTAGTTTTTAAAATGAAAGATTTAGTCAACTCTTTATAATTTATTTTCAACAACCAAGTGATATAAAGTCTTACTAAATCATGCTATAAACCAAGTGTTACATGATCTTTATCTTAATGACATAAATACATTTACAATTAAGTTTTATTCTTTAAACTATGGATAATATTAAGGTAGAAGCTGGAGCCAGTATCAGGTCTTTTTATGAGCTATACAAAATCATTTTTTACTTTTTTAGCTACTTAGGGAACTTAATAAGAAGCATTGAAAAGAAATATTAATACATTTGATAAATGAGAATGATATTGGGCTTCAGATCATCTAACAATAAGAAAATTCAGTATTGGAATTTTGTTAAATAACTGCTGGAGTTATATTTTTGTCTTAGAAAACTTTCATCATGGAGTACAGCTGTAAAACAACTTTGTCTTCAAACAGAAAGGCTATAATAAAGCACCTCCTAGCTAGACTTAAGTTCAAGAGGTTTATGGTGGTGAGCAGCAGAAAAGATGAAATGTTTCAATAAGCCCCTCAGGCTGATTTAGTTAGTATTCACAAAGTGGTATAACCTACACATTGCTTACCCTTTGTTAACTGGTTGTTTAGAATAGATGCGTGAGTCACTGGGTTTTATTTTAGCAGTTGGGCAATGTAATTCTCCTTTTGCCCAAAATATTAAAATGCATAAATGTGAAACTAAGAGAGGTAATGTCAGATCTTATATAGGATTCTTGTCAACCAATGTGATGAATTAAGAAATTCTTCTGCTCCTGTCATTTCATGTTTTACCTTGATAGGTGAAAATGATAAATTACTTCATGTTAAAAAAAATCTATTATTCAACTAATCAGCAGACTACCTTTTTTTTTTTTTTTTTTTTTTTTTGTCTCTCTTTATGAGGTGGTTAAATTTCTTTTATTGACTAGGAAAAGGTCTATCAACAAAGGCTACTAATAGAGGGCAGGCAAGGTTCTCTCCTGTATGATTTCAAGTACAAATATATCCTTCTGGGAGTTTGGGGGATTAAAATATATATATATAAAATTCCCCTCTCAGACACGGTCAGATTAATGAAGGTACCTGCAACAATGCTGGCAAGCTGCTGGGTTCTGGTGATAGGGTAGATGCTGCGTGCCTGAACGATTGCTGAAGCGATTTTCTTGGCGTGCTTCTCCTCCCCGTATGTTCTCAGGATGGATGCAAGTGCCTGTTGATCTAAAGCGTTCACAACATCAGCAGCGGTGGGCATGTCAGGGTACCTACGCACAAGAGGAGCCAATTAGTTCACTGACGTCAATTTTCATTGACAAGAGGTGAAACTTCAGTGTACTGAGGCATAAAGTCAGGCATACACACACACACAGTCTAGGAGAGCTTCTGAGGTTTTTAAAATCAGAGACTAAAATCTTACACAAATGAAAGAGATTTTCCATTTAGAGTATCCATCATTATGGCAAGTGGGGACTGTTTGTGACATTCATCAAGGTCAAGGGACCAGGAAGTTAAGACATTTTACTAATCTTTATCATTCATTCACAAAGAAGAGTTGTTATTGCTCATGTAGATTTCCTCTAAACTAAAATAATACAAAATGTTTGAATATAAGTTGTTTAAAATTCAAATTACTGCTTGAATTATTTCTTTTTCCTGGTATTGAAGATATCAGAATGAGCCTAGATCACAGCAAGTTAACTAAATCTGAGGCTGACAAAATAACTGACTAGTTATGTGGAGGTACAAAGTTTTTATATAAGAAGACACTGCTGGTCAGTTTCCCTCACAAAAATCATAACAACAGTAATTACAACAAATTCATATTTACAAAAACACTCATTACATTGGCTCATCAACCAATGAAAAAAGGTCAACAAAGGGTGAACAAGCAGGAGTTCCGGCAAGATGGTGGACTAGGCAGAAGCATTGCAAAGACCCTCTTCAACAAAGAAAAGGGAAACCAATTAACACAGACACAGAAGATAATCTTGGACCCCTGAGCCTTGAAGGGAAGGATA